CTGTAATTGTGTAAGAGGGAGCAAAAATATATTCTGCTTTTCAACTGTAGATGCTCCAGAGCTGCTGTTGCTAACACTACATGTGGTTTTTGTTTTTCACCAAACATCAAACCTTTCTGTAAATTCTCCTTTAATTTCTCACAAAATCTAAAAGGATCTTGAAGAAAAAAGCCAGTAAGAATTAAAACTTCACGTTTTTAGCCACTGAGGTGTTAATGAATCCTGCTAATAGGAGGTGTGTTTTCATGCAAATTATACTTCTGAGCTTACTAGCTTCTATTTGTATCTTTTTTTTTTCCTCCTGGTACCAGGGATCGAACTCAGGATGGGGATCGAATTCAGGACTTTGTGCTTGCAAGGCAGGCGCGGTGTCACTGAGCTAAATTCCTGGCCCATTTCTATTTGTATATTATTAAATATATTTATTACAAAAAATAATGGACTTTTAAGGAAAATAATGTGAAATTCTGGAAACTTTCTTTTGGGCAGAGAACACTAGTCCGGTTGCACTGCAGCGTGTGTATAGCATGCTAAAATAAACTTTGTATGTGTGTGAAGAAAACAAAGATCTTTTATCAAGTTCACATGAGATCACTAGGGTAGGTCCTTATAAAAAGGGGAGATTCAGACAGAGACATGCACAGAAAGAGAGCACTGCATGAAGGCAAAGGTGGTGGGGGTGATGATTCTAAATACAGAGCAACCCCCAACTGCAGGTAAGCATCAAAGTCAGGAGAGGCCAGGCCAGGTCTTCCCTCACAAACTCAAAAAGGAGTCCACCTGCTGGCCCCAGACCCCACAATCCCTGGATCCCACACTCCAGGCCTCCAGAGCTGGGTAGTCTTCCTGCTGAAGACTCGCACTGCTGTGCTGATGCCCTCCCGCAAGGTCCCCTCTTCCCAGCACAGCCTCGCCCCACCCTGCATAGGGCAGTCCTCCCTTGGGTTTAGTCTAGGGTGTCCCACCACCATCTGTGCTGTGTGGCCATCCCCGTGTACCCGATTGATTCACCACCACCACAGTGGGCTGGGAGCCATCAGAGTGACTTCAGACCTTGTGTGTGTGTGTGTGTGTGTGTGTGCGTGTGTGTGTGTGTATCTTGCTGTGTTCCAGTATCTAAGGAGAGGGGAGGGGGACCCTCTTGCTGGGAGGAGCACCACAGTCTCAGCCATTCTTGGAACCAACCCACCTTCTCCCTGTCCCAATGGATCACCAGTGTTGGTGTCAGTCTCTCCTTCCACACCTGTGGGGCCAGCACAGCTATGAACAGCCCATATTTCACTCTCAGAAGCATCTATAATAGCCATGAGTGGTGGCGCACACTCGTAATCCCAGTACTCTGGGAGGCTGAGCCAGGAGGATCACAAATGTGAGCCCAGCCTGGTCAGCTCAGTGACTTAGCTGAGGATGCAGTTCAGCATGAAGGCCCTGGTTCAATCCCCCGTACTGAGATGGGGTAGGGGGTTCCCCCGATTAAATACAGCACCCAGGGTGCTGTTCACTGGGGAACTCCTGGACTCTTCTCTAATCTACTTACCAAGCCATAGCCTCTGGGCTGTGGGGAGCCTGGGATAATAATCTCAAACTTCTCAAACAAAATGTGTTTCAATAGGTCCTGCACATTCTTAAACGCCACTTTAAAAAATGTGGTTCCTTTCTCTCCCTTACTCAAAGGTCTGTAATTTTTTTCTGAATAATCTGAGAATGTGTTAAACATAAGTGTGCCCCTTTATCATCATAAAAAGATCCTATTACTCCACCACAGTTAAGCACAGTTGGCCTTTGGTATCAGGTTCTCTCTGTGGATTCAAAACACAGCTCAAAAATACCTGGCTGGAGCTAGGCCTGGGTGTGCCCACCTATAATCCCAGCACTCGGGAGGCTGAGGCAGGAGAACTGCTACAAGTTCAAAGCCAGCCTAGGCTACATAGTGAGTTCAAGGCCAGCCTGAACTACATAGTGAGACCTTGTCTCAAACAAACTTCAAAAAATCCCTGGCTGGGCTTTATGGCACATGTCTGATATCCCAGCTGCTTGGGAGGCTGAGGCCAGTTTGAACAACTTCACAGGACTGTTTCTTGACACTAAAAAGGGGGTAGGGCTGGGGATGTGGCCCAATGTTCTCTGGAACTGATCCTTTCCTATCTCCTTGAGAGTTGTTAGGAATGGGTGTTAAGTGTTGGCAAAGGATTCTCTCAGGCAGAACACAAACTTTCCTTCTCATTCTCATGATATCATGTATTAACTGACTCCAGTACAGAGCCATCCTGGCATTTTGGTAGAAGCCTCACTAGCCATGGTGAGTTTTTTTCTAAGTGCCATGCTTCTTCATGGTGTCTGGTTCACCAATATTTTATTAAGGATTTTTGCAGTGACATTCACATTAAAGGGATTTAGTGATCAATTATAAACTTGCTTCATAAAAAAAGATGTATAACTTCTATCACTGAGTGCTTTGAAACATTGGAGGTAGCACTGGTTCTATTCAGTCTCTCAATGTCTGGCAAAACTCCTGTGACATGTGGGTCTGGTGCCTTTTTGTGTGAGGAGGTCTTTGACAATTTTGTCTTCTGGAGGGATTGGTTTAAGCTTTAGATCTCCACTGTAGTCTGTTTTAGTAAACGTTTTTCAGAAGAAATTATTTGTATCATTTAAGTTTTTAAACTTACTTGTATGGATATATGCAAAGTCTTTCATAACTTTTTAAAAAGCCTTCTTATGGACAAAGAACTTGAACAGACTTTCCTCCAAAGGAGATACGCAAATGGTCAAAAAGCATGTGCAAAGATGTTCAACGTCACTATTAGGGGGATACAAAGCAATGCCACTATGCAACAGCACTTTATACCCATTAGGATGGCTATTTGGCTATTATAAAAATAAATAAAGAGAAAATAACAAGTGTTTGCAAGGAAGAGAGCAACCAGAACTCCTGACCTCTGTTGCTGGGAATGTAAAGTGGCGCAGCTGCTGTGGGACACAGGATAACTGGTTCCTCAAAAATCTTGACCACAGAACTACCGTATGACCCAACATTTTCCACTTCTGCTTATGTAACCAAAAGAACTGCAGGCAGGATTGTGAAGATACCCATACATTTACACAACAGCATTATTCACAACAGCCAAAAGGTGCAGACAAACCACATGTCCATCAACAGATGGATATGCAAACAGCAGAGTATTACTCAGCCTTCAAGGGAAGAAAATCCTGACACATGCTACAGCAAGCATGGACTTCGAGGCATTACAGTAAGTAAAAGATGACAGTCACAAAAGGAAAAGTCCTGTATGTTCCCACGTGCAAGCAGTCCCTAGAACTGTGAACCCCACAGAGATAGGAGACAAAACGGTGGCTGCCAGGGGAATGGGAGCTACTGTGAATGGAGACAGAGCTCCAGGAAGACAAGAGGAAAGGCTCATGGATGGACAGTAGTGACAGCTGCAGGGCAGTGTGAAAGTGCTTTCTACCACAGAGCACTGCATACAAAATGTGACCAGAGTTGCAAATGTGGGGTTATATTTTACTGCAGTGTAAAATGTCCTTTTTCTTAATGGCAATTTCCCTTTGGCATTTGTTTTATTTGTGCTTTTTCTTAGCTAGTGGTTTGTCTATTTTAATAATTTGCCTCTAAGAATCAGGATTTTATTTTATTAAATATTTTTACTGATGAATCCAGTGTCTGCTCTTTACTAAAATATGATAAAATTCTTCAGACAGTGAAGCTGTTATCCCTGGGCAGTAATGACACAACTGGGAGGTAAGGTGGAAACAGCCAGGTGTCTCCTGAGCATGGCAGGCTCTGATGCAGTCTTCCATCTCTGGACCCCCACAGTCTTAGTATCTTGTGCCGTGGTCACCCTTGCTGGAGGATGGCACGGTGCTCATCCTTACCCCTTTGTTACATCACTGTAATGGGAATCCTACTGCACTAAGGGAGCTGTGCCTCGCCGTCCTGCCCTTCGGGGTATGCTGGGTCCTGGCTGTGACATAGGCACCACCTGCAGAGCCAACCCTGTGGGATGCACAGGGTGGGCACTGGGCACTTCTCCAGCACTCATTGGCTCTGTGGATGCTCAACCCAGACTGGGTCAGGAAAGAGCCTTGGAGACCGACCCAGCGCTGCTGGGTTCTACCCACTGCTGCTGGCCTAGGCACTGTGTCCCAAGGGGCACTGGAGGCTTGGGTCACTGTGGGAACATCTCCCACAGAAGCCCAGGGACAGAGGGAAGAGTACCACTGAACACAAGCGGCACCCTGTGGGAGAGCCCCAGCCCTGGCGCAGACCCTGCACATTAGGGTTTATTCCTTGGATGCTTCCTTGAAGTTTTGTGGAAGCAGAGCTGGTGTACCCTTCAATTATTTTCAAATTAAGCCATAAACTATAAGCAAGTTAGAGCAACATGAAAAAGGCTTATGAGGTATTAAATAGAAAGTGGACACTGGCTACAGCTTCTCAAATAAGACCTGCACAGGACAGAAACCAAGTGTGGCAAGCAGCAGGGTGTGGTATGCACGACTGATTTCCTCCATTCTCAGTCTTTTTATTAGGGTTAAAAGAGTAAGAAGTATTTGTAGGGCTGGGGATTTAGCCCAGTGGTTTCACTGCCTGCTGCACAAGTGCAAGGACCTGAGTTTGATCCCCAGTACCAAAAAAAAAAAAAAAAGAAATATTTGTAAATGCTTTCAAAAATTTAAGAGACACTAGCTCCACCACCGCCCCCAACAAAACAGAACATACTTTAGCCTTGTGTGGCCAGTTCCCAGTCACACAGTGCATGGACTGGGAACAAGACAAGCTGTGCCCTGGATCTTGTGTGGGTCCACTCATCAGACATCTGGGCCACAGCCTTGGGCTGCACCTCAGGGGCAGACGGGGGTGCAGGGACAGTGCATTCTTAGAGGAGCCACCACCCCCATCCCCTTATGGGGGCAGCAGAGCATGAAGGGGCCTTGTGGTATGGACAGACGTGGGATAAAATGAGTCACGGAGCCAGAGGGGACACTGTGAGACTTTATTGACATACCTTGTAAGATACAATACAGTGCAAACACATCTTTCAGGATGAAATCACACAAATGATACATCACAACACACAAAACAACACATGGTCTTTTCACCTATGCCACTACTATTCTTCACATATAGTCCTGGGAAAGTTCCCACAGGGGTTAATGCAAAGAGGAAGTGGGGTAGAACATAGCAACATAATTTCCACAGAGGCAGACGGAGTGTAAGTGGCAGAAAACAGGAAGCCGATCAAACCCAGAAGAGAGCAAGTCAGCCATCCCTTGGTTTCCAGTCAGTGCACTCCCAACACACACAGCTCCATGAAGCACCTCCGAGCTGCACCAGGCGCAGCCACGAGGCGCACACTGCATTAGGAGAGCCACAGTCAGCAAGGGCAGTGACATGGCCACATGGCCATTGCTTCCAAGCAGAACGAGAGGCGCGCTACCACTACACTGACCCATGCCCCAGGCCCTGCGAAGGCAGAGGGACAAAAACAGAGAAGGGGTGATTAATGCACGGCCAACCACAGCTGCAGGATGCTGGCATCTTTGGGTCGCCCCATACTCCTACAGAGAGCCAAACTGCAAAATAACAATCAAAATGTTATTCTCTCCAATCAAAGACCTGGAGGAATAAATCATGAGTGGAGACCTGTCAAAGGAAAGGGTTAGAGAAAGTGAGTCACGAACACTGCACAGAGACATTCAAAACATTCTGCTCGGCCAGAGTGGAGTCCTGAATGTTGGGCTGAAGATAGGACGGGGTGAGGAAGAGGCAGGGAAAGTGGGGAGTGGCAGCACTTGGGTAGGAAAGGAACGTCCAGTGTGAAGAAGGGGATGGGTCGGCCAGCAAAGAGGAACAGAAGAGAAAGGAGGGGCGCCCACTCCCCACGGAGGTGCAGTCCAAGACAACAGCAGCAGCCGGAAGAAAACAGACATACCCAACAAGCTGAGAACCAGCTCAAAAAGGAAAGAGATCAGACTCTGCGCTTTGTCACTGCTGCACCTGCAAATTAAACAGTGGGATTAAAGCCTAGGAGTTAAAATCCTCACAGAGGAAAAGGATTCTGGATCCCACGCCTGTGAAAAGCAAAGCAGAATTATAAAAACAGGTGGTTATTTTGTTCCTTAGCTGAGAGCGTCACTGTATGTGTGAGTGTACATGTTATTTTAAAATAATATATATGCTAAGAAAATAGCACAGAACACAAAAGATTCAAGTAGTCTTTTAAAATCAGCTCCCACTAAATCTGCCCTTAAAATAAAAATTAGTTTAGGAGAAAAGCATGTAGAAAGTCAAAAGGACACCTTTCTGGAGCATACTAATCTGTCAAAAAGTACGGATTAACCCAGAGCTTGTCTGTCTGCTTGTCCAATATGTGGGATGTGGCAAATAAAAAACTACAGGATGCTTCATTCTAAAGGACCTGCATTTTCTCAGACCTTTTAAAATTAGTAAAATGAAACCAAGGAGAACAACACAAAGACCTCTATGTTTTAGATTGTCAGAATAAAAAGGAAAAAACAAGTACTTGAGAAACTTCTCACTACAAGCGCCTGTTCTGTCTGCCCATCTTGCTTAAAAAATTTCCTACAAAACACAACGGGAAGAGTTGAGGTATGTACGACAGTCTCTAGAGATGGCAGGTCACAGTGAGTACGTAACCTGTGTGCCACCAGGAGGCATACCTGGGGATCCAATATGAATCAGCTTTCACTCTGGTACACAAAACCATGGGCTCATGTACCTAAGAAGTTAGGCATTTTCAATGACAAGAACTAAACAGGTTGCAAAAAAACCTTACATAAAATCCTTAGGATTAAATATTAAATCAAGGCTAAATGCCTTTGCAGCATTCATAGTTCAAAATGTCAAAGTAACACTTTATTTACAGAATTTAAAACAGCTGAAAACACCGAGACAGTCCCTAAACACAGAGTATGGAAAGTTCCCCGTAGCTGACCTAAGCTCCTGTAGCTCCCTTCATGGTGAGGGAGCCTGAGCCCTTCTCTCCCGGGCCCTTCCCTTTCAGAACAACTCCTGCAGTCTCCTCAACAGCCAGTGATATCCCCACGTTCCACCTCCCATTCTAGGTAGACAAGGCAGGGAGCGGCTGCAGGTTCCCGAAGGGGATTCGGACAGATCCGTCTAACAGTGGCTGTGTGAAGGACTGCACCCTACAGGTAGAAAGGGAAGAAAATAAACAGGGATTCCTGAGAAGGGCAGCAGTAATGCAGTGAAGCCCAGAGCCATCCATCTAGCACGGGCCCCAGAGATGTGCTTCTTGGTCCCTGGCCATTCTGTCTCCAGCAACAGGACAGGGAAAGCCACCAGAGAGAGCTCAAGGATGACCAAGAGCAACACCCAGCCGCTACACAGACCTCCATGGACTTGTGCAATCAAGTCACTGGGGCCTGTCTAACTATCATCTGTCCAATGTCTGTGAGCTGAGTTTACCTTCCCGATAAAACCAAAGGAAGTAATAGGCAAAAACAAACAGAAAAAAACAAAAGCCAAAAGAAAAAAGGGATACTCGTAACCCCAGTCCTTGGAGAAAGGCCCCTTCGCCTCACCTGTGCCTCCTGTCCCTGTGGAGGGAGCCCCTCTACTGGCCATTGTCCCTCACTCTCCGCCCGCCCTCCCCGCCAGTTCCTCGCCAGCTTCCCTGAGCAGCAGAGCCTCTGTCTGCAGCACCAGGCAGAAAGCTGGGCAAAGGACCTACGCTGTCACAACTCAGCAAAGCTCCTTAAGGGAACTCAAGCAGCTGTTCATGGAGGACCGTTACACAGCATGTTAGTGACATAAGATGCTGATGGCTAAAGCACCGCCCACTCCCACCCCATCCCCTCTCCTCCCAGCGAGGCTGAGATGTGGTTGCAGGGCCTACACAGGAAGCTGCCTATCCAGGACACCAGGCTACTGCCACATTTTTTTTGGAAAGAAGAGATGAGATTTATCCTCAAGAAGAATATCAGTATAAGATTTAACAAATGTGGCCAGGTCAAGGGTAATGCAAAGCTATGTTCAGGTCAGCAGCTGAGTGAACTTACATTACAGACAAAATAAACAATGCAAAAGGAAGAGAGGTTACTTGACTACACATAATCACCTGCCGCTTCACCTCCTGAGATCTACTTGCATTTACTGCCTTAATGCTTCTTGAATTTGTGAACAAATAATACACAGATGAGGATAAATGAATTGACTTACTACCATCTTTATAAAAATCGATATACACACAAACACATAAACAATTAAGGAAGTGTCTCCATCAAAATTTGATAAGACAGCACAGAAGAACTAACAAATAGCTAAGTTGTTGTCGCGTAGATAGCATTTCCAGTAATGTGTCATTTTAAAAGGTTCATTTTAAAAGGTCCGTATGTACACAGTATGCTAACGCCCTGCCCCTCACCTGAAATGCATGATAAAGAACAAAGATAATGGTTGCAGCAGATCTTCCCCAGGGCTCAGGTGCATGTGGGGTCTGACTTCCCCACCAGAAGTGCACCTGAGAATGAAGTAACATTTCTCTCTAATTCTGCTTCTTTCCTTTTCTGTGGTTCCTCCACAGACACTAAAGCCTGCAGCATTGGCCTATCCAGGGCTGAGCTGCTCCAGGGTGTGAGCACTGAGAAACTGGACTGCACCTGCGGCTCCACTGCCCTACTCCGTCCTACACACAGCTCTGCCACCTCCACCTCCACTGATGAAGGAAAAGAACACGCCCACATATGCAGATGGCTATGGATACAGATACACACATGCTCCTGGAACTTGTGCCATCCTCAGCCAAGGCCAAAGGTAGACCTTGGAGGGGCCCTGAAGTCTTGCTTGAACAATGGCACCCAACAGGATTTGTTCTCTTAACACTAACTTCCACGCTTCAATGCCTGATTTCCAGAGATGAGGTACAGATCTGGGTTTCAAAAGCACAGCACTCAGACTGAGAAAGTGGTTTAAAAGAAAAAAAAAAAAAACTGTTAAACTCATTTTATTGTATCCTAAATCCTGGATGATAAAATAAGGCTTCCTATGACCCAGCATATCCTAAGCAGTCAGGAACTCTCTGGACTAGAGCTTATAGGCTACCAAACTCACTGCTTCAATGCAACTCTTGAGGACTGGGCCATGCAGACTGCACTTTCGCCTGTATGCACAAACCTGTACCTAACTAGACACGAGTGTGCAATGACAGCTCTGCCTAGGCCAGGCAGCAGCTTCTGGAACAGAGGCAGACCCCAGGGCAGGGTCTGCTAGGACATCCTGTGAGAGCCACAGTTTCCCAGAACCCACACAACCTCCTGCACTTCCCAGCGTCCCACCTAGGCATATGATGCCAACTCAGAATCAGTGCTACACAAAGACTTACAGAGCCTGAATACTCTTTTCCAGTTCCTAATACTGGTAACTTAATTTGAAAGTGTAATATAAAACTGCAGCTGTGGAAAGCAGAGGCTACCAGCACCCTCCTGTCTCCTTAGCTACTATGGGCTGCTCTGGAGAGCACGGAGGCTCAAGACGGCTTACCCAGAGGCAGTAAGTGACAAGGGGCTTCTGTACCCCTCAACTCTTCTAATAACGTGACGTGAAATCACAGGTACAACATACAGCTAAAAAGTCCGAGTGTGCGCTGGCATGCTTGGTCATACAGCTCAGACCCACTCTGGACTCACTCTATCAGTGAAACTCCCGGGTGGAGACACAGTAAGGCACTTTGCAGTGTGTGCCCAGCACGGATTTCCACAGAGTAAAGAGCAAGTCTCCCCTTAGAACCTACCAAAAGGACATCCCTGTGAGACAGTCATCCTCACACAAAGGTGTGGAGATCAGCGAGCCAGAGCGAGCTCTTGGGTCCCTAAAGGACGGTGAAGCCCCTGCAAAAAGGCCTTCAAAGCAAAAAGGCAATCAAATCAATGATAGTTCATGTCACTGAGCCAGTGCTACAAACATACCACCTGGGGCTGCATTTAAAAAGAAGAAAACCCAAGCTGGTCTGACTACCCCTCACCAGTGCCTCAGGTCGCAGGGCAGGAAACTGGGCCCCCCAGGGACTGTGGGCATCCTGTACCTGTCAGCACTGCACCTGCCTGGGAGAGAATGGACAGGTGGGAGTTCTCTTGAGAACCAGGAATGCACAGTGGGCACTTTGGAGATATCTACAAGCAGCAGAATGGCCACTTCGAATGGCACCATCCCAACCCCCGCTCACACCTGGCTTTCCAGGCTATGCATGTGTCAATTGATAATCACCCAATTTTAACTGTACTTTCACCAGAGCCTTTGAGGGCAGAGGAGACATTTCTGGTGAAGCTTAGTTCAGACACTCCTTTCTAGCCTGCGCTGAAGATAAGTGCAACCATTATCAAGTATTCTTTGCTGTGAAAAATACTCAGAACCTGCGGCATAATGTTTTCTCCTGACTGAATCACTGATTAATCATATAGCAGGATCATGGAGAACAGGGTCTACATGCATCATGAGCACTTGGAAACAAACGGAAACAAGAACAGAGTTCTTGTGGGTAATGGAATGCAAAGCAACCCACACCCATCTCGCTCGCCTTGTCCTGTCACCCAGATAGATCTGTGCAGTCACCGGTGCTGGCTGCCGCTTGGGTAAGAGTTACAGGCTGTGGACCGAAGAGGCTGCACTCCTGGGGTCCTTGCCAGCGGCAGCTTCCTTGAAATTCATATGTGTGCAGATGAGGCGAGACTCTCCAGTTAGACCTCACTCCACGATCAGGGCCACATTTATGTGGGACAAATCTATCATATGCCTGTGGAAAGTAAAGGGACAGTCAACACCAACTCCGGACACCAGCAATCAATTCACCAAGGGAAGAAAGTGCAGTAGAACAGTAGATCAGGATTAACATCTCTTCCACAAAAAATAGAAGTTGGGGTAGGGGTGTGGCTTAGTGGTGGAGCACTTGCATCCTGTGTGCAATCTCTAGTACCACAAAAAGAGAAAAACAAGAAAATGAAAAGTGCAGATTTACATGTAAGATCGACACACAAACACAAGAGAGCACTCCTCATGTGACAAGAGGACTGCTGGTGCTCTGCTCTGCATCACTGGTGCAGCCTGCAGCAGGTGGCACACCCCCCAACCCTAGGACAGAGACCTCCTCCTCCTAGTCATGCCCTCAGGCCATGGGCTACCTGTGGAACTTCTGCTGAAATGCCAGTGCGTGTGCTGGTTCCTTGAACTTTGCGATGGCTTTCCGCTGCTGGGGAAGCATCTGCAGGCTCTGGAAGAGAACAGAAACACTCCACATGTAACTCTGTAATGTAAAATGTAAATGCTCGCACACTCTGAGCTACAACACAGAGATGAGGGCCAGGTTGGCGTATGGAGCACAGAACCACCCTCCACCTTCTACCTACTTGGCAATTCTGCTCACTTAGCAAGACACTCTACTCCCACATAGTGCTTCTCCCGTCAGTCCCATGAGCAGAACTTCTGTCCTCCAAGCCCGTGTTCAGACCTGCCATCTCCTGGCCACATCCACCACCCAGACTTCCTGAGGTAAGGACAGGATTCCTCTTCTCACATCTTCCTGAGAAGTAGCTTTTAACAGGGCCTCTCACCAACCTTCCTAAAGAAGTGCACACAAGCCTGTAATCCCTCCACTCTGGGAGGGTGAGGCAGGAGGACTGCAAGTTTGAGACGCGCCTGGGTAACTGAGACTTTCTCAGTCAACCAATGGTGAAGAACGTGATTTAACCCCTAGTAATGCAAAACCATCACAACCACAAGGACAACAATGAACTCCCACACCAGAGGAAACTGCTGCGAAGTGAGAGGACCTCCAGCCTACAGGTGGCAGTCACTCCCTAGTTTGCCACTGGGTGAACTGAGGCTCTCACGCACATCCCATCTCATTTACCCTACAAATGGGCACCTGGGAGTTACTTCAATGTTACAGACTGAGCACACTCGCCTCACAAGTTCTCTGACCAAAAGCTACACTGCCAAGACACAGCAAAGCCAGGATCTAGATTGCCGCCTCATGCCTCGTGGCAAAGCTTCTTGCTCTCACTATTCTTGCCAGCTGCATCTGCAGTGTTTGTGCAGCAATACCTCTCAGCTGACTCTGGAATGCAAGACCACACCTGTGATGCTTCTATCTTCTGCTTATGCCGTTTCTGCAAACTCCTGTCACTCTTCTTACTCTACAGCACCTTATGACAGTAGTGGAAGTAAAACACTGATCTGAGGGTAGCAATGGCTGCCACAACACCAATACACTGAGGAAAAATCTCAGATTCCATAGGTTTATAAGGCACAGCTAATATGCAGTTACTAGAACTTTCTATAGTGAAAAGACGGAAAGCACAGAGGTCCCTGTCAACCGTTTTAAGTGCCAGTAAGTGAGTGAACACCAGGTGGCTCCATACTCCAGAGCACAGATACTTTCTTCCTGGAACGAGGTAGGCAGAGGCTCAAACCCAGGTCAATCAGCACTATCCTTCTAAAGCATGCATTTAGACCACAGTCAGTTGCTGACAGCCTCTTTAAAACACTTCTTTAGCCATCAAATGCTGGCAGAAGGTTGTTATATTCGTTTTTTTCTTTTTAAATTAGGAAATGCAGGACTTTGAAAATGCCATGCTTAAAAGTCTATATATTCCCTCTTTAAGACCACCCCACAGGCCTAAGGCTGATGGGAGCCTGCCTGTTGGGTAGGAGGAACACCCTTCTGGAGTATGGAACTGGTCCTGGGGCCTGTACCTTCTCCCTCATTCATAGTGACTGAAGGACACAGGAAATGCTCCCTTCTCTCTAGTTAAGCAAGTCACTGTGACCAACTGCAACATTTGCCTCTGTTGGGATTTTAAGTGGCTCCAATCAAACTTTGTAACACAATGATTTCTAATTCTTTGCAGAAAAAAAAAAAGGGAAAATGGAAGAACAAAAGGCAGCCAAGAGATCATAAAAAAATTCAAAATTTAACTCAAAAGGTTAGGTGGTCTCCTGGCTCCAGGCTTATTTTCACTATGTGGCCTCTGAGCCTCACTCAGCACTATGAGAAGCAAATAGTTCTTGCTGTTCAAATTCCAGAATATTCAAGAAAATGGCCAAGACTGCTGTGATGAGGCCACACTGTAAAATCAGCAAGTCACATAATGCAAACAGTGTTGTCCCTCACCGGCCTGCAAAAAGGTGTGTCCCTGTTGGACAAGGGTTAAGGTGCAGAGTCTGGACTTGGGTAAACCGTTATGCTACCCACAACTGTCAACTCCACTTGTTTTGAATTTCAGAGTATATGAACTGCATTTTAATACACCTGAAATCCCCTACTGTCAACTCTGTTCCTGCACATTAACCCTGCATGATGACCAACTGCCTAGAAACCACCTATCTGTGAACACTGGCTTTATGCTTCTGACAAATAACAGAGTGTTCCTAAGATACAACTAGGAGAACTGCTCCTAGAAGTGAAAGGAGAGGTTTTGGTTCTTTTCAATGGTAAATACAAATAAAATCCATAACAAAGGTGGCTATAATTAAGTTTATGTAACAGACATTTGAAAGTTTTCATCGTACCCTCATCTTTAGGACTCCCATTTAGACCGAGATCTGAAACAGATTATAAATTAGTTACTTGTACCAGCCCCGGCCTGAGAATGTCCCCAGATTCACTCAGGAAGCAAGAGACTATAGGCTAAAAGAAAGAATTTTCTGCTGTTCAGAAATCTAACACTTCTACTAGTTATGTTTCTGAAGAGCTCTAACTTCAGACATAGCTCCGGCTTGATGACAGGTGTGTGAGGAAGGCAGTGAATGGGCCTGTGTGTAGGAGGGCCAGGAACAGAACAGGGGCCAGGCACTCACTTCGAGGGGCACCTGCTGGGCTTGGAGAACAGAGAATGTGGCATTCTGTTCATTTCATATTTACTCATTTCCTTGGCAGCCAGCACAGGGAAGACTTTTAAATATCAGAATTTTAGCCTACCTTGCAAGCGCAAGGTCCTGAGTTCAATCCCCAATACCAAAAAAAAGAATTAGCCAATTTTAAAATTTAAAGATGCAAACAGGCTAAGCTACTGTTATATCTGCAAAATTTAAGCAGCGTTCCACAGGTAATAATTTATGCAATTATTTCAAAACATGAAGAGAGGGCTAAATACTTCAATTTTTTTTTTTGGTATCGTGGATTGAATTCGGGTCCTTGCACTTGCGAGTCAGGCGGCAGAACCACTGAGCTAAATCCACGGCCCTAAATACTTCAAATTTTAAAAAATTATTTTAAAAAAAACCAAGTGATTTGACAGAACAAAAAATGTACAGTTAGGTATGCATGTGTGAACTACAGGATAATTTGAGGATTTCAAAGGATAATTTATTCTGTTGGAATCTTTCTTCAAATTTTAACTGGGAACCTGAACATTCCAAGTGTGAGGCAGAAGCTCAGGAATCAGTATACACAGCAGATACTCGTCTCTCAGCTGTTACTTTAACACAACCCAACCACAACGTGAACACCAAGACAGGGCTTCATCTGGGACCCAACAGACTGCAGAGACGCCTGGCCACCGCCAGGCCACCCACCTGGATGGGCCCCACTGACATCAGCAGGCTCTTCAGCTGGACGTCGGTGGTGGATGAGGACAGCCCCTCCACGGACACCACGCAGGGCTGCGGCTTGCACTCCACCACCCGAAGGTTCTGCTTGTTGGGCATTAGGCGCCCCCGGCCCATGAGACCTGCCACTCCTCGGCCTCGTCCATGCATGATGGGCTGGAACAAGAAAAGAAATGCATTCTCATGTGCAAGTGTGGGCTACCTCCTAGCTACTAAGATGTCAAAGGAACAACTCACTCAGCATCTGTTAGGATACAGTGAGCTACAAGATTCTCTGTAGTTGTCTATCTTCTGCCCAAGGATGGTTACAGCTCACTGAGACAGGAAAGCCCAGCAAGACTAAGTGAGGACCAGGAGGGAAGTGACAACACCTGAATCTCCTGGGGCCACACAGGCACTCAGTGCACTCTCTGTGCTGTCACTGATTATGGGTGAAGCACCCCTGGGGTAGGGAGCCATAAACTCGGAGGAAGTAACAAGGGAAGGTGGTGGACCCCAGCCTGACTGCCCAGAGCCCACACTTCTCCTGCTGTTTCAGTGGGGACCCACCGAGCAGTGCTGAATCCACCCAAGAAGCTGCAGCTTCAAGGACCCAACTCATCTGAACAAAGTCTACACCAAACTCAAAAGTCTCCCAAACTCAAAAGCAGGTTCTGCAGCAGGGCCACAGGCCAGCTACATATTATATTATGATCATCTACTGCGATTTAAACACATACCCAACCAGAACTAGGTACCACTCTCAACCCCCAGCATGACCCTCGAGTCACAGGCAGGGTCCAGAAAGCATCTCCCTTTCGTTTCTCTTTTCTAAGCCATTCAAGATTCAGGAGCACTGCTTGGAGAACCTTAGAGAGGTCTTTCTAGCATTTTCTCCTGCTTAGGAAATTACAAAGACTATACTGACTTCGAGTGAGACTGACCAGCACTAGGCTCCCCAGGTGCCCCAGAACGTGACCAGTCAGGGGTAAAAACAGCAGCCTCCCACTCCTCACAGAAAAAGGAAGAAAGCCAGAGTGAGAGCAGAATCGTACCCCAGGGCACAATGGGCACGACACAGAAGCTAGGAGAAAGCCGTGTTCCTCGGCACTCTGCGGAAGGTGCAGAAGGTAACAGCCACTCCTACAGAGTGCTCACTCAGGACATTCCAGGGCCACAGTGGGGCATGCGTCACAAGCCCCAGGTGACATGGCTGCAAACCAGTACTAAGTGCCCTTCTGCTCCAATAATGGAAAGTTGTATTAATACACTGAAGTATGCTTATTGACTGGCCAGGTCTCTGTAAGGATCACCATATAAACTCCTCCCGAGAGCTCAAATAAGAAACATCATCATCTTCTTTTAGGAGGAGAAAGGAACTTAGTACCTACACATACCACGTATCGGCTGTGCATTTTTGTGGTCTTTCTGGTCATGGAGCAAGGGATAGTACCTGATAGGACAATGTGACTGGGGGTTTACTGCTGCCTGTCCGAGGCAGCACACACAAAGGAACCTCAATATCGTGCACCAACAAACTGCAGGTCTTCAGGAAGCAGTCAAGGCAGGTGCTGCCCTGCCCCTCTGTCCAGCCTCACTTGTTCCTCAGACAGGTGATGTTGGCTGCTGCTCCAGGAGGGACCATGCTGTTGCCCACCCTCAAGAACTACAAGCTGCCTCTACCTAGAAGCCGAGGGAGGGCACCCTGGCACTGCTGCACATGTAAGGGGACCAGATGGGTGTCTTATATAGAAAGGGCTATAGCAGACACCAGGCTTCCCGCCACCAGACTGAGCTTAGATGGGGGGATATCCTTCAATCCAGCGGCCAAGGGAAGAATTACAGGGTCAGGACTATGGTCTATCACGTCCTCAGGTTACTCTGCCATCACAGCCTTCAGTTTCCCCTCCTGGAACTCGAGTGGTGACCAGGAAACCTGAAGACAGAACTCTGGCTCTAGCAGGTACTCCCAGCAGGTCAGTGAGGCAGGGAAGGTTCGCCCACGTGAAGCTGCCTTTGTGTGCAGTGCCTGCAAGCCCTGGTGTGGCCTGCCAAGTGTGGAGCAGACTCTGCGCCATTCAGAGGCACCAGCAATAGCCCAGCTCTGAGATGTGGGTGACTGACTGGAGTGCACCAGGTGAGGAAAAGACTTTGGTGAAAATGTCAGTGTTTTTCCAAGCCAAGAATAAGGAAAAGATGTCTCACGGGCCAAAGTGAGTACTAACAGGTGCCAGGTAGCAGAAATCAGAGAAACTGTGCTTAACCAGTGGGACACTTCCTGTGAGGGAGTAAGCTGCCCATATCCAGGCAGGCAGGGGGCAGGCAGTACCTTCTTGGCCTGGTGAATGCCTTGGATGCTTTTGATCCCTGGAGGAATAGCCGAGTGCACGTGGGGGCCCACGGGGGCGTGCTGGGGCTGCTGAGGGACACCCTTGGTCAGCGTCACCTTGCGGGCAGGTTGTTGTCTCACTTCTGGAGGCTGAGGAAGTCGCTGGGGCTGGCCCTCGAGGTGGAAAAAGCCGTCACTCTCTCCTCCCTGCTGAAACCAACAGGCAGCACAGGGTTCAGGGCTGGCCCAACACTCCTTCAGTCTGAGAGCCCGTGGCCTGGACAGGCGGTGGGGCACGGGCCTTGCACACAAGCGAAGCCAAGCCCCCGCTCTGCAAGAGCCAGTGCAGGGATTTCTCACCAGGCAGCGGTTAGGGTTTAGCAATATTTTTGAAATTTAAAATCTGTAAAATCACCTGTAATTCCTGCTTCCATTTAGGGTCTGTGGTTAAAATACTGCAAGTGCTGCTGGGTATGGTGGTGCAGCACTCTGGAGGCTGAGGCAAAGGAATCCCAAGTTCAAGCCCAGCCTGAGCAACTTAGCAAAACAATGTCACAAGGTAAGAAATAAAAAGGGGCTGGGGTTGTAGCTCAGTGTAAAGGCCCTGGGGGTTCAATCCTCAGTGCTAAAAAGAAAATAAACGCTGCTTAACTCAGTGACATACTCCTTGACTTTAAAAATACTTTTTACATATGTTACAAGCATGCTCATTACAACCAGGAGCAGCAGTTCTGACTTTGTGACTCCTACTTCACCCCACTGCAAGTGGCAACAGCCCAACTCTGCTGGATGTGTGCTCAGTCTTGGAGTGGTGCAGTATCACTAGCACCTGTACCATCTATACAGAGCTGCTAAGTGCTGGGAGCAGGTACTGTACACCCTGAAGAGGTGGGAGGGGAGGCACGCGCGCGCGCACACACACACACACACACACACACACACACACACACATTAGAGCTGGCTATGGCCCACTCTCCTCATGGCCAGCTATGCAGACTGTCCCTGAGTGTGCTTGTCAGCTACTTCCAGGATTCAAATGCACGGACCTGTCGAAAAATGGACGGGGGTGGGGGCAGAAAGATCTGACAGTAAGAGTCCTGCCCTGCTAAACTATGGAATCTCAACAGAAATGGATGCTGCAACTTGAAAAGTAAGACTGCGCTTGAAGCCCACCATGTTCCAGGCCCTAAAAGGAAAAGGACCACATCTGGCCACTCGGCCATGCCAGTAATGGATAGGAACTTGGTAAACTAGCTCAGAAGAGGCCCACCTATCCATGTCCCTCCCAGCTACCTGGCTGTGGTAAGTCCTCACCAAAACCCAGACTGAAACCGAGTTGGCAATGCAGCAGTCCTGAGGGCCAAGGAGGTCTACAAGAGGTGTTTGGGTCACAGGAGCTCCACCTTCATGAAAGGGATTGATGTAGTTCCCACAAGAACAGGCTGGCTATCAAGAGAACAGGCTGCTGACAGCATCTTACTCCTTTGTGCAGAAGGAATTTCTAAACAGAATCACAACTGCTCGAGAAATAACAGCAAGAATCAATAAATGGGATTACATCAAATTTAAAAGCTTCTGCACAGCAAAAGAATCAATTAGTAGAGAGAGTGAAGAGCCAACCTACACAATGAGAAAAAGTTTTGCCAGCTATTCCTCAGACAGAAGACTAATACCTAGAATATATAAAGAACTCAAAAAAATTAGACCACCTAAAATAAAAGACCTAGTTATGGGCTGGGGATTTAGCTCAGTGGTTCCGCTCCTGCCTTGCAAGCGCAAGGACCTGAGTTTGATCCCCAGTACCAAAAAAAAAAGAGCAAAAATAAAGTTAAAGCCATGTTTATAAAAAAAAATAAAAATAAAAATAAAAGACCTAGTTGAGAAATGGGCAACTGAAATGAATAGACATTTCTCAAAAGAAGAAATACAAATGGCCAACAAATATATGAAAAAATGTTCAGCATCTTTGGCCATTAGAGAAATACAAATTAAAACAATGCTAAGATTTCATCTGATGCCAGAAAGAATGGCCATCATCAAGAAATCAAAAAATAACAAATGCTGGCATGGCTGTGGTAAAAATGGGACCCTCCTACACTGTCAGTGGGAATGTAAACTAATACAACCATTATGAAAATCAGTATGGAGATTTCTCAAAATATTAAAATTGGAAATTCCATATGACCCAGCTGTTTCTTTTTCTAGGAATCTTCCCAAGAATTTTTTTTTGGTACCGGGGATCAAACTCGGGTCCTTGTGCTCACGCAGCAGGCGGTGAAACCACTGAGCCAAATTGCTGGCCCTCTAGGTATCTTCCCAAAAGAGCTAAAGACATCATACTACAGCAATACATGCATACCAATGTTTATAGCAGCACAATTCATAATAGCTAAATCCTTGAAGCAGCCTGATGACTGGATAAATTGTGGTATGTATACTTAATGGAATAGAGTACTACTCAGCTATAACGAAGGATAAATTCATGACATTTGTAGCAAAATGGATGCACCTGAAAAATATAATGTTGAGTGAAATAAATCAGACACACAAGCTTAATATCCTACAGTATCTCTTATTTGAGTAAGGCAAAGTATAAACAAAGAGCACAATAAAGGACAGAAAGAAATGTGGAGTTAAAGCTCTTGCAAATGGTAAGGAGTCCAGGAGACTGAGAGTGAGGGAAGGGGAAATAAGCAAAATAGATACGCCATGTACAGGAACTTAATAACCTCAATGAATGTAAACATTTTAGGTCATAAACTCGATAATCTCAGTATCAACAAGAATGAAAATGGGACAAGGGGATTAAGAAGAAGGGAGGTGGGAGGAAAGAGGATTTAAATAAAATAAGCTGTATTATGTACATGTACACCCTCCCCAAGATGGCTGTAAACTCTGTGTACTGCAAACATGTATTAATAAAAATAAAAATAAAGTTGAGAGAGAGCAAGAGCGACTGAGACTGATCGATCTAGTAGAGACAAAATGGAAAAGGCAATGGGGCCAGACTGGAGTAATGTGGTCACAAGCCAAGGAAAGCTGGCAGCCACCAGATGCTGGGAGAAGGAAGGTACAGTTTTTCCCTCAGAGCCTCCAGAGTTGGCAAGGCCAGCCAACACCTTGATTTCAGCTCCAGGGTCCAGATTAGTGACACAGAAAACTTGTTTTTTCCAAATGTCATACACATACCTAAGTAACTTTCTGAAGCTATTATTCATTTATTAAAACTAAGTGTTAACTTGAAATTAAAGCTAAACATTTAAGTTGTTTTTTTAAACACAGTATTAAATCACATCTTATACAACAATGAGGCATCATTACATGACAGCTCTCTAAAGAGCAAATATATCTGTATTATGTGGTGAGCACAAAGGATTTTTGGCATCATAAACAGAATTACACTAAAAAAAAAAAAAAAAAGAACATCCTCCCCAAACAGATATAGAAACAAACCAAAACCACCTTAACAAAGTATTGGCACTTAATCCAGCACCTCAGAAAAGGCATCACACTCTATGACTAAGATTCTCTGCAGAAGTGAAGGCTGGCTGAATACCTCAAATTAACTAACATACCATAATATATGAAAGAAGGGTCCCTGACATCTCTACTGTCCAACTGGGGCTGTGGATGACTGACCCAGGTGAGTGCTTCAAGATTCTGTGACTATGACATGTATTGTAACTGCCTAAATGGGTTGGTCTTACTGGGAGTCATCCCTTCCCCCAAAAGAAAATGGTCACTGGCTATTAAGATATGTGATTACATCTTTAAATTTAAAAACTATTTAGCATGAAAAATTTCAAGCACATATATAACTACAGAGAACCATACAGCTTTTTAAGAAACAGAATTTGAAAAATTTGGCACTCAGAACAGGCCCTGCTGCCTTGAGTGAGACAGCTGTTTGCACCTTGAGGAGAAGGACCCTCTCCAGGCATCAGCAGCAGCTGACTGTGCACACCCCAGGCCGTCGAGGGGTCTTCCTTGACACAGACCTTGGCTGGTGGGTAGCCCTGGCTGAGACCTGGAGTTGCCTACTGTTATGGGTTGTGTTTAGATGTCCGCCCAAAGCCTCATGCCAATGAGATGGGACTTTCTTTTTCCAGAGATAGTTTAATCAGGAATGTGTGATGCTGGGGTTAAGGGTGTGTGATTACTAATCCACTACATGTAAGGAGACTGCCATTAGTTTGGCACTGCCCTAATCCCCGTAGTCTGAATAAGATAAAAGAGGGAGAAAGATGCTGGTAACTCCTCTTGTTACCTTTGCTGCCTTGTGTGTACCATGTTGTTTCTGCTCTGCCATGCCTGTTTGTCATCCTTGCCTTGGAGTTGGCTGATTATGGACCGAAATCTCTATGAACTGTAAGCCAAATAAACCCCTTCCCTTCTAACTTTGGGTGTCAGGTATTTTGTCTCAGCAAAGAGAGAAAGGTAACTAACACACCTATGTTCAAGACAAGGTCACGCCTCCTACCACTTCAAACAACACATTAAGCCTTCATAACAGAGTGTGGGTTCTCCTGGGATCTCAATAATTACCAGGAGCAGTGGCATCATTCAACATATTCCACCTGTCACTGCCTGAGGAATAATGACAGGAAATTTGCCAGGGACATTGTTTTCCTCCAGTGCTCTCTGTGAGCTAAGTAGTGTCATCCTCATTTTGCAATGGAACAAGCTGAGGCCTTTGGTCACACGCAAGTGCCAGATAACCTCCCTGGTTCTAAGGAGGACCACGTCCTGGGAGGAACTGACACTAATGTGCTTTGTAACTATTTTCAGCAAGAACTGAAACAAAAGGGATGAGGTATCATTCAATTAAATCATTCTAATTAAGCTACTAAAACACTGTGCTTTGAATTTTTCTCAAGATCATGCTAAGCACTCACAGACTGAATACAAATAAATTATTTCATTTTGTAAGAAAAACTGAAAAAATTTCCAATTAAGAGAATGAATATTCTTTCAATTTAGCACAGTAAAAAGCTAATTCTAGGGGGAAATTTTAAATTTCTGCATTAACGTTAGGAAATGATCAACCTATCCATTACTAGGTTGCAACCAGGAACATATTTTTATACCTACCCTGATGTAAAGTCACAGACAAAACTTCAATAAAAACTAAGCCGAGGGCCAGGGATTTAACTCAGTGGTTTCGTCGCCTGCTGTGCAAGCGCAAGGACCGGAGTTCGATCCCCGGTACC